GCCTGCAACGTATTTTCAATGTGGGTACGCCCATGTCAGAGTGCTCATCGTAATGGCCTCGGAAGACAGCTCCCTACGATGAATTTGACCCTTCATCATGCAATAGGCAAGGTATTTAGATCCAGTGCTTCTTTCACCACTGTTACAGGAATTTGAGAAAAGGATAATCCAACAGGAAACGAACGGCAGAGAAGACTGTTCCACTTCCCAGGCACATTGACATCGTAGAAGTGCTCGAGGTCGCGTCGGAAGGCAACCTGGCTTCATCAAAGTTAATTGCCTACCCTAAATACCCGCTCATACGTAGTAGCCCCGACGGTTGCGCATGCAGGAAACCATCGAGAAGATCAGCAAAGGCTGGCACTCCTTTCGCGGTCCCGCCGTGCTTGCTTTGGGGCACCCAAATGGTGTCAGAGCTAGGTAATCAACGTGCGCCAGGAGCGCCTTCTACACAAGATTAGGCAAGTACCCTGGGCACCTTGCCTTACCAACCTTCCCATTGTCTCCGAGGCAAGCACGACTGAATTGGGATAAGTTCAGGTCCCTGACATTTAGAGCCGAGAATTATCTGAACTTGCCGCGAGCGAAATCGTGCCACAGTTACCTGGACATGCTCGTGTTAGTCCTGCCTCCTACCACTACCTAAGTTCTGCCATTCTGGGCTTCTCTTCGTCTCCTTTTCGGATTGTTCACACAATAAATCACGCCTGGATTGCCAAGCGGTTCTTTCCCCCAAGGACATATATTACTCATTGTTCTCTCTCGCCGTGTCTAGTTCTAAACGCCTCGTCATTCCGTCCCATTTACTCGCACGCCCAACAATGCCGGGACGAGGCAGCGCCATGTCCAGTCCTTGGCGTGGTCGACCTCGCAGGAGTATCCTCCACGGAGGTTCCAGAGACCGGTCGAGAGGTGGCTCGCAGAGGGGCTCGTGGGGAGGCCAACGAGGTGAATCATGGACTGGCTCGGATGTCAGCTCAAGAGGGAGCTCATATACACCTCGTCGTTCGAGGGGATCTTCCACTCATGCATATCGAGGATCGCGCGGTAGTTCCAGTGTCGTTGGTCCGCACCACACCTCGCCCATTTTCTCGAGCCCACGTCGTACCCGTGTACCATCACTTGAGGAGATTTCGCCATCTGCAGGACAATACATTGAAGATTCCGGATATCAAAATCACCTCGTAGACTCCGCGAATCGACTGACACTGCCGTCCAACAACTATTTCTTGCCCTCGATTGCTGCTGAAGTCGAATTCGGCAATCGTCAAATGCCCCCACCACTGTCAAGCAGCGAGTACGAGGCATCGTCACTCCTTGGCAGAGAAGGAATGGCTCAAGTCGAGCGGAGGAACGAGGTTCTTATGGCCATTTCCGTTCAAGTGAAAGGTGTCCTTGGTTGTGCCTATTATGATACAGACGAAAACAGCTTATTTCTTCTGCAGGATATGTCCTGCACTGCGCCGTTGCAGTTTGTCGAAATGCTCATGCTGCACATTCAACCAACGACCGTCTTGCTACCCCTGAAAGTACCGGATGCGATTCTTCACTTCTTTGAGCAATATCAAAGTAATGTGGACCGAGGTCAGTCATTCCTTGAGATAGGGGCTGTGATTTTGGGCGCTCATGAATCATTCTCATAGGATCTGAAAGGGATAACTACATTCTCCGACTTCTAGGTTCAACTGAATTCAGCCACGCGGCTGCTTTGGAGAGGTTAACGAATCTACCGATCGCCGCCTCGGAACATGCTCTGGTGACGAATACAGGATTCGGCCTCTCCAGTCGCAGCTTGCAGGGTCCCGGAGAGGAATGCCAAGATGTCAAAACGATGCGTCTCGGGTCTTTTGTAGATCTGGAGAGCGTTGCATCAGTAAGCTATGATGAAGAAAATGCCATATTTGTCGAATGCAATTCTAACACATATAGATTGGCTGTGCCGGTGCCGTGCTGTGCGAGACTATACGACTTCAGAATGCTCAACGGGCAGCAGAAAATATAGAGAGAGCTTTCGGAGTGTCGCTGCGGATGTTTGCTTTGGCGGACTTCATGTTTGTAAACGCCGACACGCTCTCCTCCCTCCAAGTATTCCAATCCGAATTACATCCGAGTAACCTGATCTCCGGCACGGGAAAAGCAGTCTCCGGTTCGAAAGAAAGCCTATCTCTATTCGGCATCTTTCACCCGTTCGCTGGCACCCCTCAAGGCAAGGCACGGCTCAAACAACTCTTTTTACGCCCACTAGTCAACATCGACATGATCCGCGAGAGGCAAGCAACCATTGCGGTATTCCTGCAACCGGGGAACGAAGAGGCCTTTTCGAGCATATCTCAAGGACTACGAAAGGTCACAGATATCAAGAAAACTCTGGCTCAGTTGCAAAGAGGCGCAGCAGAATCTCCGGCTGGCTGGGCTTCAATCGAGCGTGGTGTTTAGTGGACACTTACTCGATTTTCGCTCCATGTGCTACGTCTCAGAGACGCCATACTTCAGCTGCGAAACTCCAATGGCCTTGTCATCATACAAAAGGTCAGCCATGGTAGCAACTCGTCTGACGAAGCGAGAGCTGACTCTATCAACTAGATGGTGCAGGTCGTCGCAGTGGACAAGTTGACGGCAATTATAGATTTGGTAGGAAAGGTTGTCGATTTCGAGGAAACCAAGGCAAACTCACGCATCGCTGTGAAATTACACGTAAACACTGAACTCGATGAATTGAAGCAGACTTACCAAGGGCTAGAATCCCTGTTAAACGAGGTCAGCACAACATTGTCGTTGGAGCTACCGACGTGGGCTCGCAAATTCGTCACAGGCTGTGTGTTTTGGCCGCAATTGGGCTTCCTCACTGTTGTCCCTTTACTCGAGGGCACTCAGGCAGGCTACGAAGGTCAAGGACTGTCCGGTGACCATTGGGAGCAAAGATTCACGGCGAACGACAATGTATACTTCAAGAACAACCTCATGATGGACTTAGATGACCACTTCGGGGACACTTACAGCAGGATTGTTGGTTCGTGGCGAAGTCCTACTGACAAAATGATTACCTTGCTAAGATTTCTCTAGATCTCGAGGTTGATATCCTGCACGGTCTAGCCTGTAAGATCCTCGAACATGAGGCTACCCTCAGTCGCGTGTCCGATGTTTGCGGCGAACTTGACTGCCTTGTAGCCCTTGCTAGCGGAGCACTCAAATATGGCTGGATATGTCCCACTATGACAGAAGACAACACTGTGTCAATCTACGGAGGACGTCACCCCCTTCAGGAACTGGTGGTGCCTGCATTCATCCCCAATGATTGTATTCTTATCGGAGGCTCTGCCGATGAAGCAAAAACACCAACATCGATGCCAGACAACAATAACATTGGCATCAGCACTCTCATTATCACAGGGCCAAATCATTCGGGGAAAAGTGTATATGTCAAGCAGGTTGCCCTCATTGTTTACCTCGCCCATATCGGCAGCTTCGTGCCCGCTACCGGCGCGACGATTGGCCTCACGGACCAAATTCTAACACGTATCTCGACGCGGGAAAGCGTCTCGCAAGCGGAGAGTACATTTGGTACCGATTTGAGGCAGGTGGCCTTCCTGTTGAATCGTGCTACCCGTCGAACACTCGTGGCAATCGACGAATTTGGCAAAGGGACGGCAGCTGATGATGGAGCTGGTTTGATGACTGCCCTCATTGACCACTTCAGCACGCTCGGTTTACAGTCCCCCAAAGTTCTGATCACAACGCATTATCATGAGATATTCGAAGGAGGTTATCTTCAAGAGCGACCAAGGCTATCGCTCGTGCACATGGAAGTCCGTCTTGATATCGACGCGAACCAGATGGAGGACCAAGTGATTTTTCTTTACAGTCTAGTTCCCGGAAGGAGCACGTCAAGTTTCGGGAGCAGATGTGCAGCGTTGAATGGGATTGATACTGCAGTGGTCGAGCGAGCTGAGGCTATTGTACTGCTCCTCGCCCGAAATGAAGACCTTGGGGTGGTGTGTGCTAGATTAGATGCTACAGATGAGGCTCGACTTGAGGAGGCGGAGAACGTTGCCCGTCAGTTTCTTCGAATCTCCTTGGATGGCCCTGGAAATCCTCAGTCTAGAGTGCGAGGTACTTTGTCTACTCTGGGCATTTTGGAGAGTCTTCTCGTGCCGGCAATGGTTGAGTGAAGTATCTGCGAGAAGTTGAGCTTTATGAGCATGGGGGAAAGTACGAGAGGTCCTGGCGCGTTGCCGGATGACGACTGGCTTAGATGATGCGTGAAAGGGGAAGATTGCTGTTAAGTCTTAGATCCGGTAAAAAAATGAGACAATTGTTTGCTAAGTGGGTGATTCGAGTAGCTGATATCAAGACGGCATTTGAAAAAGGACCCCGGTATAGACGTTAGACCCAAGGTAACAAGAGACCGCAGACCCAATTGTCTTGCACTCGCACAACAGTTTCATCCGTGACCTCCCAGAAGACTCCATATGACTGATGTGATGCTATCGCTTAACGATTGAAGTCCAAGGTGTCTGCTGTCACACGTTGGCAATGTTACTCGTGATCAGTACTACCACATTGAGAAACATGAACGCGAATAGAGGCAGCCGCACGTCTCCAGTTATCATGTCACACACATGATATCTTTGATAAACCATGTCTTTTCTCAAGATGAATCGCTTCAACAAACGTTGGGCAGCCTCCGATACCCCTGCTGCATAAATACGGGCTGAGTGTTGTTGTAACCTCAAATAGGCGCCGACGCATGTGCATATAGCCGCCGCGAACCAACATTGGCGGATCCTCTGCAGCGAATCAAGTGAGACAGTGTGAGCGAGTGGTTCGCCCTCCCACTCTCTGTTGCATGGGGTCACCGGCCAGCAAGGACATAAGATGTAGGGCTGAGGTATTCGTGCAGCTCAAGGCATCATCGCAGACTTTAGCATCAAAAACAGTCTTTTCAGTCTCACATGCTCTGACTGATGGCTATCCGCCAAAAAGTTCAATGGTCGTAGATCATGGCGATACCATTCGCCGCCGCCGCCGCCGCCGCCGCTGCTGCTGTCACGTTGGACGACAAGTTCCAGAATCTAGATGATGAAGCCGTGTACACTCGCGTCAAGGCCGAGGCTGCCAACGACAAGGCTCTCAACTTTGTCGTCGAGTTCAACCTCCACGAGGCCTTCATCGCCTTCAATCTGACCTCTGATGATTTCGACCAGCTCGCCACCCGAAAGCGCAAAGACGACATGGTGCGATGGATCAATATCTGGTCACCGAGCATGCAGAAACCAGCCGTGGAACGCATCGGCGCCCAGTACGGGTTCTCCAGGAGACTTCTCGCCATCATGACGGCTCCGGCCTTGTCATTCATCAAGCAGCAGGCCAACGCGACGCAGGTGTCACCGCAAGGTAGCGATGTTGAGAAGGGGTCGTTGTCTGACGGCCTCGGACTTCCACCACCAGGACAGACGCAGGCGCAAGTGTTGGAGGAGCTTCAGATCTACCAACTCGTGAAGGAGACGGTCAATTACACCTCCATTGACCAGGGGAAGGACTGTGAGTTCTCGGACACCCCGATTCCAGAAGTACTGCCAGAAGATAGCTGATTATCGACCAGTCCTCTGCATCGGTGCTAACTGGTTGCACACCCGGCCACATTCTAAAGCCACCGAACATAGTCCAAGTCTGTTACCGCCCAGACACTGGTCATGGCTTGCCCTCAGCTCCGACTGTAAGTTTGCGACATGATCGTACGAATCGTCGTGCCGTGCTCATCACCGACATAGCCGTCGTGGTATCTTTCCACGAGACGCCATCGTCAGAATACCCCGAAGACGAAGAATGGTCCATGGCAGAACTCGTCAATACGAGATCCAACACCACCAGCGTTTTGTGCCAACTATCCAAGCACGGCGTAGAAGATTTCGAACGAAGGCTTCTCTCGCTGAAGCCGGTCAGGCAGGCGATGCCTCGCCAAGGACTCGGCAGCAACACTGCCTGCGAGGGCTCGAGTAATCTTTTCTATTATCTTTTCGAGGATTATTCATCGGCCCTGCCAGTTTTAAGAACTTCCAAGCAAGAGCTGGGTCGACTGGTAAGTCACGAGGACCGAGTCTTGACGACCATGACTTGTAATCGAAGATGGATACCTGCTGATACCAAGTTGCGTTGCAGAGCGATCAAATCTTGAAGCCGGTAGGTCACTGATGCCGTACCGGGAGCAGAGAACTGACTTTCAAGCAAGAGTCGAAGAACCAAGATTAAGACAGGGGAGATTATTGAATCACTACATACTCTGAGAAAGGAGCTCAGCCAACTCCAACACTTGTTTGAGGGTTATAAAAGCCTCATCAAGCGTATCTGTTGGTCGCCTCGGTCCCTAGATGCCTGTCACGAGGGTCAATGCGGACGCCTAGAGTTATCTGGAAATATGTTCGGCGAGGTAAATATATCGTCGTCAGCAAGAAGTCGCTTCGAGCGCCTTGGAGACAGACTGCAACTGTTGATGCTCAACACAATCCAAGAGTATCTAGACGAGCAAAACGCACTCTCGAACACGGTAGGTTTCCGGGAAACATGCTCGAGCCGAGTGTATTGAATGTTTGCTGACGATGCTGCTAAACAGTATTTCAACCTCACGGCCCAAAGGGACTCGCAGGCGACTGCACGCCTGAGCAGGAGCGCTACCGTACTAGCCAAGCTGAGCGTCTTCTTTCTCCCCATAACATTCATGACCAGCTATTTCTCTGTAGAGATACCCGATCTGGTGGAACACTACACCCCCAAGATGTACTGGGTCTGTTTTGCCGTGATTGCCGGAATCTCCTTCATTAGTCTTTTCTTTTTCAGTCGCATGATTGAGATCCTCAGCGATGTGCTCGAGGCTTGGGCCCACACCGCGGTGCGAAGCACCCGGCGTTTTGTTGGACTACGTGTACAAGATGATAGAGACGAACATTAATCAAGATGTCGGGGCGCCGCATTCAATAGTCAAGTGATGTACTGCAAAGAATCGGGGTATTCCCTGTCCATCTCATCTAAGCGGATAATGAGCAAGAAAACAAACAACGCAACACAATCGGAACTCCACGAGTCGTTTCTCTACGTGAACAACTTTGTTCCCACGTTGATCCAACTGCTTGCACTGATAATCGTCTGATTTGCCCTTCATCGCATGGCACCGAACACGGCGATCCCTAAGCCCGCCGCGAGTTTGGCCACACATGCCGCTGTCGGACGTGCTGCGGCGTTGATGACGACGCCATTCACCGTGGTTGATTGAGCACACTGGTCATTGTTCAAGCCGTAGCATGCTTGGGAGCTAAGACTGGAACATATAGGTGTTGCCGATGTTCCAACGTCCGGCCGGGTTGCGGCGACGGTGGTTCCACCCCCGCCAGGAACAATCACAGTAACGCCGAAGCCCGCATTGCCGTCTAATTGAGTGACGCAACTTTGGTAATTTCGGGAACATTGGCTGAGGGCCGATGAACACTCGCCGCGATCGAGCGATGTCGCTATGTATGGGAATGGAAAGTAGGCATTGGGGACGTATGAAACTGCCGTAGCAGTCGGTACTGTCGTCGGAGCCGTGCCGGTACAAACAGCTCTAAAATGTGCGACTCCAAATTAGCCGGGCTTTGTCTCGTAACGAAGTAATGCCGGAGGTTCAGTCATACCCAGAGGGACAGCAAGCTGGCCGGTTATTATCGTCCAGTTCGCACACTTGTCCCGTGGCGCAACATATTCCATCAAATGTCGCGCCTAGTGAATCCGAACATTTGGATGTGCCAGCCGGGCAATCTTGACGTCTAAATAATTGCAACGGCGCACCGCCTAGCACGTAGGCGGCGGTGGGAACCATAGCCTTGGTGTCAGTTGAAGTCGGAGTTGGGCTCAGGGCGAAAACCATTTCTGTGGTCCCCAGTATTGCCAGTCGCGTTGTCCATCGTGATAACCTCATAATTTCGTGGATTATAATGGGCCAGGCCCGGATCGTAGTTGACGTAGCCTTCCTGTTTCCTCGCCCTAGCCGTGCGGAAGTGGAGGAGTGTCTGTTGCTGCCTTTTGTGATAGATAAGCCGGGTGTCTCCTCGATCCAGGAGTGAATAGTCAGTTATCCGTCCCGGATGGCATCGGGCAGTTGTCTCACAAGCTGGCTACGAATTCGGTGTGGTTGTGGGAAGAGTGGAGGATAGATGGACCGGAGAGCTAATACAGTAGTACTTGTATGTCGCTCTTAAGCTGCTCCAACAGGAGGATTACACGAGTGTCAAAGCCTGCCCGCTGTCAATCTGCTGGGTACCAGCCACAGCCAAGGCTTTCGCCCAATTTCTCGTCCCTGCACTCGAACTACTGTGAGGAAGTAAGGTGAGCTGTCCAACCCCGCCCTCGTTGGTTTGGTGAGGTGGGTTGCATGCATGCAAATTCCCTCGGACTACCCAGGCCAAAAGGACCGCCAGGGTGGGTGAGGTGGCTGGGCATCTGAGCTTCGCAGGGTGAGGGGGTAGGAAGACGCCAATGAGGGTTGCAATCGCATGATGTCATTGGGCGGAGGACAGTTGGCAGAGCAACCCCGACCTCAGTCCCTCGGGCCCTGGTCTTGACGCACAGAGCAAGCTTTGCACGCAGCACAGCACCCTCGTCGCGATTAACGGCCTCGAACATGGGCCAGAATCTGTCTGAGCCGTTGAAGTGCCTGCATCTCGTCGGGGCCTGTCGTAGCTTCTGTCCCATCTCCGCGCGCCCCTTCAATTTCTTGGTGCGCTTGTCGGGCGAGGGACCCGAGGTCACCCCAAACTTCGTCCGTGTAGCTCGTAAGCACATCGTTCCAGCTTTCCATCCACATGGCTCTGGCTTGTTGCACATCTGCTACGCCAAAATGCTGCAATAATTCGCTGGGATCGTCTCCATTCAGAAAATGGGGCTGGAAGTCGAGGAGGGAGGTCCAGTTGGAGGCAGTTCTTCCATGGGCATCGTCGAAAAGGGCTCTTTTTAGCGACAATTCTTCTTCTGGGGATATATGCGTCTGCAGGTCGTCATCATTCACGTCAAACCCATCCAACTCGAGAGAGTTTAGTAGATCAACAACGCCTAGGCCGTCGTTGGCCTCTTGTATCTGGAAATCGGACTTGATGCCTGATGAGAGAGGCGTGTGTTGAGTGTGTTCGCTGACAAGGACGATCCCAGAGTTGCTTTCCTGAACCTCGGCTGATCTCTGAGGCTGAGAGGGGTCATCGAGAACCGCTTGAGCTTGAGCATCCATGAAGTCTTCATACTGCTGTCCACCAGCGGTGGATAGACCTGTTGCCGAACCAAAGCCCGTGGCGGTGCCGGGATTCGCGCTGCTTGGACTGCGATACGTAGCAGTATCTCGGTGGCTTCCGGAGCCCTGGGCAGAGTAGGAGGAAGTTCCGGGTGAAACTTTCGCTCCCGTCGTTCCGTTACGGATGGTTTCGGTGGCAGAGGAAGCTGTCAGAGCGCTGCGAGAAAGGCTGGCCGCAGATGCCGTGAGGCGGGATGCAAATGAGGAGTTGGGCGGTGTATTTCGGTCACCTTGCTGATGTAGAGCTGTGCCATCATCAGGCGCCGTTTGGACATCGGAGGGAGGGACGGTGGAAGCTTCTTTGCCCTTGCCCTTGTCTGAAGGACTGGAGACGGCATCGCGACTATTTTGCTCGACCATGCTGATAGGAGTGAAGAAGAGGTGTGTAGTGGGCGCTTGGGGGTTCAGAATGGCAACTTGGGCTCAGCGAGACAAGAGGTTGGTGACATGATATTGCAAGTGCGAGATGAGGGGGATCTAAATGTCTGGTATGTATTCGTGTGTTACACAGAGACCGAGGTTCATGCCTGCCGTGGGCTTCTGGTGTCGTTGATGTGCCGGCCATGGGCCGTAGCTAAGGTAGGTAGGTACCTTGAGCTTGTAGAACGGATAAGGTAAGGTAACCTAGGTAAGGTAGGTACGAAGTACCGTGATTAGGTGTACTCTTTACGTTCCAGGTGATAAACGGTACCTAGGGTACCTACCAACAGTAAGGTAATGGGCACCAAGCGTGCGAATTGACCCGGAAGCAGTTGACGTCTCTTCGGCAATCTCCATTCGGCCGGGCTCTTTGGCTGCACATGTGAGCCCCGTTTTTGAGTTGCGAACGGAGTACTGTGCCCCAACGCAGCTGGCAGCTTCAAGCTTCTACTAGGTAGATATTCACCATTCCACTTACGTAGTCGTGGGACGCAAGTGGGGGAAGCGCAGGGCGGGGAATCAGAATCACAGTCAAGAGGGGCGTCTTGAACCCCTCAACGCCTCATCGGGGCAAGGCAACATGGCCGAGTGGTCCAAGGCGATAGACTTGAATTATTTATTGTTCTATATCTATTATCTTCGGATGCGCAGGTTCGAACCCTGCTGTTGTCGACTTTTTGATTCACGACCTACTGAATCATTTCTGTGCCTCTCTCTGTGTCATTTGAGGGACTTGCCCGTGAATGTTGAGTGATACTTACGCTTTTGTCAAGATTATTTATGTAAGCTACTCTACCTAGCTATCGCTCCGTACATGGGACATACATCGATAGCGGCACATTACGGATAAGTAGGTATCCGTACTTACTTACTTTACTTACCCTACTCCGTACTGGGCGAACCTAGGTATGCCTCCAACCCAATCGTGCCACCCACCTCAGACTAAGTAAGGTAAGGTAGGTACTCTGCCCCTCCCCGGTCCCGTCAACAACTGTCTACTGAATTCCAGGTCGACCTTGGGTAGGTAGGGAGTACTCCGTGGCGCGTAGGTACTTCGATATCCAATCGTGATTCCCGCTGGATTCCTATGTTGACCCTCATCCCGCCCGCTCTTATGGCAGCCACAAATCGGAGCTCGTTAGGTTGGGTACGACAACAACCAATGTAGGTACCTCACTTTACCCAAGGCACCTTACCTAAGGTAGGTACCTGGGTAGGTCGCAGTGGACGGGAGGGCAGCACCGGTACCTTACGGCGCCCACCTACCTTATCCTGCTACCAGTGCCATCGATCAGTCAGCCCGGGGTGTATGGAATACAGTACGGATTGGATACCTATCCGTACCTTAGCGAATCTGGAAGACCTGGAAGCAAATCAAGCCCACGCAACATCCCTCTCTCTCTACCTTACCTTAGCGTCACCTCTTTCTATCCCGTCCACCATCACTCCACCACTCCCACCTACCTACCTTACCTACCTGACCTTACCTTCTCACCCCAACCTCAACCTTGCGCAGTCTGCACCCTGCTCTCGCCTACCCGCAATCTGCGCCGCGATACCCCCCCTCCATACGAACAACGTGCAAGCCCTCGACCAACCGACTTTTGGTCTTCGCCGTCATCAGAATATTCAACCGTCCCAGCATCCGAAGCAATACGCCTTTGTGCAAATCCCTGAAGCATTTCCACTCCCGCTGCCGCATACGCCAAACACCACGCACCTACCCTTCCTTACCGCAGAGCCTTCGAGCTACGGGCCTCCCTTTTCAACCCCTCGTCAACTACGACCCGCCCGATCTATCTCTGCCTCATCCCAACGACATAGAAACCACTCGCCTGCTCTTCGTCCGCAATTGCCTCTCGCACTCCTCCACTTTGCCTGCGTGTTTTTAGGTCCCTCTTCTGCGCACACCATCGCAGTTACTCTCACCTCAGCACCAACCCACGCTCTTCGCGCCGTCCAGCTCGACTGTCGTGTGGCCCATCTCAGCCCTGTCCATATTCTCCCAGCGCCGAGAGACAACCTCTCTCTCTCTCTCTTTCCGCACCACTAAAGCTCGCCCCTTCGTTCGTCTTCGACATACCCCGCCACCTCGCCTCTTCCGCTCGTCCATATCAACATCTACAAGTCCATTCCTTAGCTCGTACAGAACTGGTCTGCAAACATGGTGGACAGCGACACGAACTCCCCCACGTGGAAGTTCACCCAGTACGTGCTCTTGCTCCTTGGCTCCATGTCTTCCTTTCCATTATCCTCATCTCGACTGCCCCGCCCTCGCCCTTGCTGGGATAAGTGCTTACGCTACGCAATAGGTGCTTTGGAGACAAGGGCGATGTGGAGGACATCACCGAAGGTAAGCTGCAGCCCGCAATTCCTTGTCTGGCGACCATTACCGCCGCTACTATGGCAGGTTCTGTCGACTCTATCGTCTATAGATCTAACCCTTTCTCTCAGCTGATATCATCTCAACGGTCGAGTTCGATCACACGGGTAACTATCTCGCGACGGGAGACAAAGGCGGCCGGGTCGTATTGTTCGAACGGAACGAAACGGTGAGCCAAACCTGGCATCCAAGTGGAAGGCGTACTCTTCATTCTTGACCTTATGCTAATATTCTTGAACAGAAAAAAACATGCGAGTACAAGTTCCATACCGAATTCCAGTCCCACGAACCCGAGTTTGACTACCTGAAGTCGCTGGAAATTGAGGAAAAGATCAATAAGATCAAGTGGTGTCGTCGACAGAATGCATCACACTATCTGCTCTCAACAAACGACAAGACGATCAAGCTATGGAAGGTATTCGAAAAGTCGCTTAAGGTCGTTGCCGAGAACAATCTATCCGATGACTTGACTCCCGCAAACCTCGCTGGCGGTGGGGGTGCTCCGAAGCAGTCACCTGCGCATCGCTTCAAGAACTCTGAAGACCTCATCATGCCCCGCCTAACCCATCATGACACCGTCGTTGCCGCCGTACCTCGCCGAACGTATGCAAATGCCCACGCCTATCACATCAACAGCATATCCGTCAACAGCGATGGCGAGACATTTATCAGCTCGGACGACCTCCGCATCAACCTCTGGAACCTGAATATCCAGGATCAGAGCTTCAACATTGTCGACATCAAGCCTGCAAACATGGAGGAGCTGACTGAGGTTATCACCGCTGCCGAGTTTCACCCTCTAAGCTGCAATTGGTTCATGTACGCAAGCTCCAAGGGCACCATCAAGCTTGCCGACATGCGCCAGAGTGCTCTCTGTGATAGCCACGCAAAGCGTACGTACTGCGCTTCTCCGTCCGAACTCTTTGCGATCTGCTCGACGCTAACATTTTGTCATCGATGTAGTCTTTGAGCAAGAGGAAGATCCGTCCTCGAGGTCGTTTTTCTCCGAAATCATTTCCTCCATCTCAGACGTTCGATTCTCCTATGATGGTCGTTACATTCTCTCTCGCGATTACCTGACGGTGAAGATTTGGGATATCAACATGGAGCGACAGCCCGTCAAGACGATTCCCATTCACGAGCATCTGCGTCCTCGGTTATGCGATACGTATGAGAACGACAGCATCTTTGACAAGTTTGAGGTTGTCTTCTCAGGGGATGCCAAGAACGTCATGACTGGCAGCTACAACAACAATTTCATGATTTATCCTTCAGACCCCGACAAGGAAGTTGAAGTGGTGCTGCAGGCCGACAAGTCTGCCTTCAAGGCTAAGAAGGTTGGCGTACCGACACCCATCAATTCGTCTACGAGCCCAACCGCAACCAATGGTGGCAAGAAGGGAGGTTCCCGTGCTGGTAGTCCTGCTGCTGGAGCCGGTGGCCAGGGCCAAAGGATGCGCAAGGAAACCGATGCCGACCAGATCGACTTCAACAAGAAGATCCTCCATATGAGCTGGCATCCATTTGAGGATAGCATCGCGATTGCGGCAACGAACAACGTAAGTCCTTGTCGGCATGATGATTCTCTTTCCATCCCTGGAATTTGGGTGTTGAGTGGGCTGACTTCTTTCATAGCTATTTGTCTTCTCTGCACTATAAGGATGGATATCAACCGAAGCCCTTGAGCACTATGACGAGTGAGGACACTCATGCTCGGACGAAGCACAGCAACACAGTTGGACGATGTGGATCGAGGCTATCGCCTCCTATAACCTGGAGGATTTGGTTGACAGGAGAAGATGTCTCGGGTCTACGTCGCAGCTGTGGCCTCTTGATACAATCGCCGTCTTTGCCAGACTTTCGAATCAAGAGGCCAACTCGACCAGTAGGAAAGAGTTTGCTGGGTACTCGGGACCATCGAAAAGTGCTTGAGGAGAGGACAGTGGTGAAGGAACACGTGGAAGATATGGAAGAAGCACTAGGAATAGATGGACCCGACCATCGTGTCACGTCGTCACGGTTATCAATGCCTCTCTGATTTCTATAGTAGAATTGGAGGCAACGAGATTCTCGCCTGTTTTGAGCATATGGTGACGTATGATGGTAAGCCCAAGTACACGAGATGCAGTATCCGAGTGTCGCAGGTGGGCACTGCGGAGGTTATTGACATACCCTTATACCTAATTATCCAAGGTAACGGATATTTCACATACCTTTCTGAGGGTTCCCTAAAGGCTACTGCTGCGATTTGAACATGAGAGGACGGTGCTTCCTGCATGCGATTCGACAATCATGCAGCGACCTGATGCCCAGATGCTGTCATTCAAAATTGGTCCCACGGCTGTGGTTTGTCCCGTTGCGCAAGATTTCGATTTCTTAACTTTATTCCCCGAAATAGATCTGTATCAACTACCTACTACCTAAGAACTCGCACTTATCTATGCAGGTAAGTGAAGTTGGGTGGGTTGGGTGGCTTGAGGTACCTAGATTGGTTCTCAAGAGATGTCGAAGTTCCTGTCAGGTCCCAAGCCTACCTAGCTAGGACGAGGGAATCGAGCAAAGTATGGATCCTCACGCAGGCACGCTGAGGCCATCTTTAGATACCTGACCCAGGTAACGGAAGGTACGGATAAATAGTCGTGACGGAGTTATGGTAGCAAGCGTAGTAAGTAGCACGGCAAGAGCAAGTGGAGCGGGGCATGTTGCTTGAGGTAGCCGCCCCAACCTGCAACCGCTGGCTCATTGACTTCATTGTACAACTTTGATCATAACCCAAGACTACCTTACCGCTTGAGGTAGTAAGTGAAGCCTCCAACTTTGAGAGCATGAGCGGAAAGCCTGGGTGGGAGCTTCAGCTGGATCCAATGCAAGGCAGCATGTATCAACTCCAAAGTGAATTCGAGTAGAGGCTCCTAAGGTCTGTCAGGGACAAGTGCCATAAAGTAGGTAGCCCGGTTTCCCAAGCACCCGACCCCCATCGTGAAAGTCTCCATGGAACCATAAAACGACTGGAGAGACTGAGAGACACAGACGTGGTCTTTGATGGAAGTTTGGGGCGGAGCGGAGTCCCGACACAGCCTGGGCAGCTCAGATCCCAATTGCGCCACTGTCATTGGCCGCCCTCGCCCTGATCTGTCCTCTAAACCTTAAGGTAAAGGAAGGTACCTTACTAAGTTACTCCGTACCTCGTACCTGGTTCCCGTCCCAGCTGTACCGGCGTCCCAGTGTCTCGGACACGCTGCACGCTGCGCGCCGCACCTTTGCAATTATACTTTGAACCCCCCCCCAAAAGTCTAGTCCAATCCTTTCAACTATTCGCACGCAGGCTTCGAGCAGCCTCAATGTCCTCTCCGGCGACTACTCGACGACGCGGACAGCCGAAAGGCATCTCATCGCCTCCCTTGGAGAAGATGGATTCTCCTGCTCGGGGTTACGATGACGAGAAGACGGTCGATCAAGCCGCCAAAGGTTCGGCCATGAATGGACATGCTTCTAGCGAAAAGTCCCTGCAGACTGCCGGTCGCATAGCCGCCGGTCTCTTTTCCCAATGGATCACCGTTGGTGTTATGCTTGGCCTGATTTTTGGCGGCTGCTGCTCCAATGTTGGTGAACCTATGCTCAACCGACCGTATCAGAGCTACAGACATGCTGACCTCACTGTTTAAAGGTGTATGCCTTGGAAGCTATCATCAAGTAAGCACTGCTCCCATACTCCGGCTTTGCCGTCAAACTTCTGAATGTTTGCACTTGCTAATCGTGCCCTTTCCCTCCAGGGTCGAACCTGCAAGTGGTATGTCACCATGGACCCCGCGCTCTATAGCCCCTCCTGACAAGTTCGTGTGCAGGAACCCTCCTGACGTTTGTCCAATTCCTCTTTGTCGCTGTCACCGGATACTTTTCCCAATTCGATCGATCGAGACCACCGCTCTTCTTGCAGCAGAACAAGGTCCCTCTACGCCGCTGGATTATCAATATTGTGCTGTTCTTCAGCATCAATGTGTTGAACAACCATGCCTTCAGCTATGACATCTCCGTTCCTGTGCATATCATTCTTCGGTCCGGTGGAAGTATTACAACCATGGTTGCCGGGTCTCTTTATGGGAAAAAGTACTCTCGCATACAGATCGTGGCTGTCGTTCTCCTGACATTCGGTGTCATCACCGCAGCGTGGTCGGACTCGCAGTCAAAGGTACGCAAGCGTTGCCCAAATCCTGACGGGCTCTCTCGTTCTAATTGCTGTCCAGACCTCTTCAAAGGCAATCGAGGGGAGTGGCAAGCCCGCTTTTGGGACCGGCCTCGTTGTGCTGTTCGTGGCACAGGTCCTCTCCGCCATCATGGGTCTCTACACAGAAGAGACGTATAAACAATACGGCCCCCATTGGCGAGAGAATCTCTTCTACTCACACCTTTTGTCACTACCGCTCTTCTTGCCGTTGGCGCCATCACTGATCCGCCAATTTCGGAAACTAGCAAACAGTCCGCCTCTATCGCTCCCCATGGCGCATCTTCCCGGCCTTGGCCTCAAAGGAGACGTTGGAGATAGCCTCTTCAAACTTCAAGTTCCGAGCCAACTTGCCTATTTGGTAACAAACGTCGTTACCCAGTACGCATGTATCCGGGGTGTAAACTTGCTCGCTGCCGTATCCTCAGCATTGACTGTCACCATTGTC